CAGGCCACTGTGAGAATTTAACGAGTTACTGGGTGTAAAGTGTTTAGAACAGAGCCCAGCGCAGAGCAGGCATGCGAGAGCTGTGCACTAGTGTCAAGATTAAAATTGAGGCTCCGAGGGAGTGGAAACCACACAGGCCTGGCCCTACACCTGCCTGGTTCCCACCCTGGCTTCACATGCAGCCTTCTGATTCGGGAAGTCAGTTGCAGCCTGTTTGGGCTGTTCAGAGACGTGTAGATTGTTTTCAGGTCATATCACACATTGCGGTTGACATCCAGAGAGGATGAGCAGCCTGTTTGTGGGGGTCAGAGCCAGGTTTCCTGAGTCCCCCCAGGCTCCCTGATGTGTCCCAGAGATGGTTTTGTTTTTGTTTTTTTTATGTGTAGCTAGTTATTGATTGTATCAGGAAGCATGTGGGGAAGTTTGGGGGAGAAGGGAGAGCTGGGAATACAGCCTAGAAGACCCCCTACCTTTGATCTCATCTTGACTCCCCTGCCACGTTCTCTCCTTTGGGGACTATATTAGACAGGGTAAGCTAACGGCTAGTGCATAAAGTCCCCAAATTTTGGCTTAACACACTGAAGATTTATTAGTTCATACCGCAGCAGAATCCCGCTCATGGGAGTGCCTGGCCCTCTAGGGCCTCGGCAGCTTCTATGGATCCTCTGCTTCCTGCCTGCACAGGAGGCAGGAGAGGGGCAGTCGTGGGCCACCTTTCCCAAGGTGCCCGCCAGAGTTCAGTGCTGTGGGTCAAGCCCAAGCTCTTTTCTGCAGAGGGGTAGCTTAGGGCACCCGAGGTGCTTGGAATTGACAAATACAAGGAGTATTTAGTGCCGAAGAGTTCTGTATCCCTGTAGCTGCCCTTCTCCCTGGATCACACCCTTCCCCACCCATCTCTGAGGTCCCATTCTCTCCTCCCTCTTCCATGGCTAGGCCTAGACACCTCCTTCTCCAGGAGACTGTTTCTAACTCCCAAAGCAGGAGTCACCCTGCTTCGTGGAACATCCCTTCTAGTTGGTCTGCAATGCTCACTTTTTCTTTAAAGCGTAGGTTACATTTGCACACATTTACCATGCTCTTACCTCGAGCCACTGTTCTAGGTCCTCTGGATGCCAGATCTCTGCCAAGGTCGTTGGGTATCTTGGGGTCTGGTAGAGGAGTCAATGTTAAGGAAATGACTTTATAATTGGAAGTTATGGAATAATCCTGGGGGGATATGCAAAGGGTGCCGGGGATACGGAAGAGACCAGGGAGCCGTGGATTCTTCCTGCTCGGGGTGGGGTGAGCTGAGAAGTCTGAGAACTTTTGAGCTGGGACTTGGAAAACAAGAACTCACTACATGGACAAGGGGCTCCGGGGGCTGGGGAACATTGCAGGCAGAGGGAGATGTCTCCCTGTGGGATATGGAGCAGCACGTGGCTGCCTCCCTCGCCTGAGTCTGCCTCCAGAGTGAGCCAGCATGCTCATATGACTGCCTGAGAGCCCTGAGGAGAGCCAGGGGCCTGGCACATAGCAGGTGCCCAGGAAATGGTTGTGGAAGTAGTGAGCGAGTGAGCAGAAGTGTCGTCCTGAGCACTCAGAGTGGTGGTAATGCCCTGCGTGGGCTGAACACCACCCTGTGCCATATCCATAAACCATGTCCTAATCCATCAAAACAGCCCTGAACGGTTTAGGGAATACATAGTCACATCCTCATTTTATGAATAGGGAAACTGAGGCGCAGAGCAGGTAAGTGAGCTCGATGGGTTTCTGGTGTCTGCTGTGCCCACCCTTCTCCCGACCAGGTGGTGGGGAAGGTGGGAGGGCCAGAGCCTGGCTGCCCTGGCTGCCGGCTGGGCATGATTGGGCTGCCTGTTTTGAAGTTAGAGGTGACTTCCAGCCACTGGGGTTTGCAGGCCTTTGTTTCATCTCCTTGGAGCCCTCCCCCACCTCTAGTCCGCCTTGCTGCTTAGTCGCCGAGGGAACAGTGGGCCTTTGTTTCTCTGGGTTCTGAGTGCCACACAGACAGCGCCCAGCATTGGCCTCCCAGGATGGCGTGACTTGGAAGCACGGCGCCCGCAGACCTCCTCTGGCCACAGCAGCGGCCCTTTCATAGAGACACCTTGTTACTTGCTGAGGGGGGCCAATCGGAGCCCTTCTGTGGGACAGAACAACAAGTCCCTGGGAAAGTTCCTTTTTCTGGGAGCAGAGTGTGGTCAGAAAGACAAAATGACATGTATGAGTTCACTCTCGCATGAGCCCCTATCCCCACCCCATTTGGGAAACAGAGCCTCTGAGGTGTGCTCCCTTCTGGGGGTCCCCTTGTGGCATCCCCCCTCTCTGAGGGTCCCCTCCTCTGATTGATGCACCCTGTCCTCTGAGGGTCTCCGCTGAAGTGTCCTGGGTTCTCAGGAGCCAGCCTCTCTCCATGGTGCTTCTAGAACCTGCCTGAGGGCCCCTCCTGAGGGAGCAGCCTGTCTTTTCCTTCCCAGCCAGTGGGGGAGACTGAAGTCCCCCATCAAAGCTTGTCTGGCCATCTGGACAGCCTTTTAGAGACACCGACAGGTCTGCTTAGGTCTCAGCAAAGATGCTGCAGTGAGAGATGGCCAAGCAGGAACCAGACCAGGCCTGATGTGTGTCCCAAGTCACTGTTATCGTGAAAGGGTTATACTGGCATGAAAATGTTTGGAAAATACACAAAAGAAGGTGGCCAGCATCCAGAACTCAACTGTTTACCTTCAGTGGAGCAGCCGGGAACGCGGAGAGCTTATTTTCCAAACAATCATGGTTGTCAGGTCTACAGGCCCTGGCGGGTGCCAGGCAAGGATGAGACAGGGCATCTCCCGCCCCAGACCCACTGGGACCCCATGGCTCCTCTCGGATTGATTTCTGTCCCTCGTGCTGCACAGGAGACCTGGAAGGTTCTCCCTGGGGTGGAGTTTCTGACTGGCCCCAGGGTGCGCTCCCCAGCATCCCTTGTGTGACCTGGTTCTCTTCCGAGTGTAGCTGTCTTGGTCTGAAAGTATTGGCCTCTTGTTTGTGGTGTCTGCCACAGTGGAGCCATAGGACACAGCAGAAGTGGGTTTGTGTCTGTTGCACCTTTTGAGAATTTGCTATTCTTTTCCCATGTTATCACTTCTCACTGATTTCTCCATCTCCCTTCAAATTCTGCTTCCTTTCTGGGAAGTGGGGTTGAGTGGGATTGTAATACTGAACCTGGAAACAGAAACAGATAGTCCCTGGCAGTTTCTGTTTTAATTGGAGGGGAAACTGAGGCCCAGGGGATGCTGAGCTGGGCTTTTGCATAGGCCCAGGATGCCTGGCAGCTCAGCTGGGGCCTGAGCCCATGGGTGTTGCTGTTTGGCTTCTGTCCAGGCCTCAGCTGGGCCACTTTCCAACTGGGGGCCTTGGCCGGTCGTTTTTCCTCATAGGCTCTTGGTGTCCTGATTGTGAAGGCAGGAATGTCATCCCCAGGCTCTGGGCTTGCTTCAGGACCAGTACCTCTTTCCCACCCAGGAGCCCCAGAAGGGGTGGTCAGCTTCTCTGTTGGTCTGTGTTTTGTTTTGTTTTGTTTTGTTTTGTTTGTTTTGTACATAGGCTAGTCACCATGGGGTGGGTGGGGAGCCTTCATTATTCCCTCCCTCCCTTCCTTCCAATAAGGGAAATCCCATAACATCTTTCCAGACACTAAAAAAGACGAGTTAAGGATATCAGGAGGAAAGAGCTCACACAATCTGAAGGTTTAACTGAAAAGGAGTTTAAATCTGGGTAGGGTCACAGGAGGCACCCTGGGAATGGTGAGCTGTCACTACCCCAGGCCTGAGGGAAGGAGGGGTGTACGGGAGCCCTAGAAACAGCAGTGGTCTTGGGGAAGGGCTGCCCTGCCCACGGGGACTGTGGCTGCTGTCAGAAATATGGATGAGGATGGTTAACACACCCAAACTTCTTTCTCTTTCTCCTTCACATCTTCTGTTGGTGCCTCCAATTGGCTGGACTTGGTGGACAAGGCAGCCGGGTGGATGTGGCTTTAGAGGACAGCTTCCCAGGGTATAGCAGTGGCAGGGGTGGGGGACACTGAAGGACCAGCACAGGCTCAGATCTGTTTGCGTCCCAGCTCCACCGCTTTCTCACTGTGAGATCCTAGGCAGGTTTCAGAAGTCTGTGTTCTCCACCCATCTGTTAAATTGCTTCTCATTATGGGGTTGGGAAATAAAAATGAACACACGTTAAGTTTTCAGCACGGTGCCTCCTAGAGCTATAGTTTGTAGCTGTCGTTGTGATTTCTTTACTAATGACTGTGAAACAGTCAGCCTTGAATCCTGGAGGAAGTCCCATTTGGGGGTGGGGCTGAGGGCAGGGGTGGGGTTGGTGGCCTCATCTGGCTTCTATTGAGGCCATCCAGGGGGTCAGCCAGGTGCCGGATTGGTGCCTGCTGCCTCCAAAGGACCTGGCCTTGCAGGTGGTGGTGTCCGTGTGCCGGGCGGCAGACATCTGGCGGGTCAGGCTGCCCTGGCTGTTGGCAGGTGCTCCTGTCTTGGGGTCAGGTGATGCCGACTGTCTGTCAGCCGCAGGCTCTGGCTCCCTGGGGGCCTTGTCTTCGTAACCCTGTGCTCTTGAAACAATAAACACGTGGCCAGTGGAGCAGGGCGAGCAGTGCCCCACAGATCACAGGCAGCCCTGTACTCTTCATTTCGTTGTGATCAGCCCCAATTCCAGTGGACTTGTGAACCGCTGGTCTTTCAGAGCAGCGACTTTCAGATTTGTGGAGATCACAGCTTTGCTGAGACTTTGTTTCATTTTGTAGAGTGACCTCTTGGACCTCTGTACACATCTGGCTGTGTGACTTCAGTGGTGTGACTTCACCTGGCTGAGCTCTTCCTGAAAAATCTAGGTTATGGGGCAGACGGGGTGTGTTCAGTAAATGCTGTCTCTATAAAGCGATTTCACAGTGATGGTTCGCTGGACCTTTAGGTTCTTTGTCACCTTGATTCCGTGTGTGTGTCTTCTGCACCCTGGGTGGCATGGGGCTCAGGGACAGAAGTGCAGACACGGGGCCTGACCTGGAGGAGTTCCAGGATTCTGTTTGTCCTGTCTGTTTCCCACGAGTGCCAGCCCTCCCGACCCCTCGCTCAGTGCTGCAGGGACGGGCAGAGGGCGGGGATAGAATAGGGCAGTGGGCTCAGGTGCTGAAGCTCTTCTTCTCTCTGTCCCCCCCTTGCAGCTGAACCTGAGCCAGCCGATTGAGGAGCAGGGCCCCCTAGATGTCATCATCCACAAGCTGACTGATGTCATCCTCGAAGCCGACCAGAACGACAGCCAGTCCCTGGAGCTGGTGCACAGGTTCCAGGTGAGCGAGGACGACAGAGGAGGGAGAGCCTGGGAATGGCATGTGCATTTCTAAAGCTGTAGCAGCTTCCTGGCTGCGTACACCCCAGAGGCTGCTCTGTCGTCGCCAGGACATGGCTTGCGGTCAGGCGCTTCCCTGCCAGGGCCTCCGTCTGGGTGTGAAATGGGATTGAACCAGGGCATGGTTGGCACGCCCTCCACCCTCTACCTGTGTAGACATGATTTACTGATCAGAGTACTGCTGAGTCCAGATGCGGCTGCACACGCTCTGCATGCACACAGGCACACACACAGCCACAGCCAGTGGTTCTCAGTTGGCACAAGGGGTGGAACCTCTTGCCATGCTTGAAGAAAGGGGCCCTTGAGGTGTTAGACTGGAACAGCTGCACTTGGCCCCGAGTCCTGCCTTGGTGGAGAACCCCTTCTCTGTGCTCATTACCTTGACCCTGTGTGCTTGTCTCTGAGCACAGACCACATCCTCTTGGCTGTTCCTTCCTCCCCGCCCCCTTTCCCCAGCAGCTTGGGTCCTGACCCCACCGTGACCTGTTCCCCACCTTGGGAGGTGCTGCCTTTGCCCCCACAGACTTGTCCTGTATTTTTTCTCTCATGGACAAGAACGTGATTCATTCCTCTGGATAGTGGCTGGGGGTCATGAAAAACAAGGTCATATTATCAGTGAAAAGGCAACTGAAACAGAGGGCCTCCCTAGTGGGAAGGTTGCTTGAGCTAGCACTTTTCAGCATTGATAGTTGGAGCTCTGACCTCCTGTGTTTCTTTATCAGGACAAAGGGGACTCTCATTGCCACACAGTAGCCCTCCTGCTGACAGCGTTTTCTTTCCCCCTGTGTTTGGGGTCTGTGACCTCAGCCTCCCTCTCCTCCCCATGGCTCTGCCAGATTCCTGCTTCCTGTGTGCAAGTGGCCCAGATGCAACTGTGGCCAGCGGGTGGCCCCTGCCTGGGGGAGGAGATGCTGTCCCCATGGGTTGCCCTCCAGGGTCTTTTACCAGTGGCCTGAAATGTTTCCCGAGGACCTGAGGCCACTGGAAGGGCGTGTTCAGCCTCCTTTGTGGCCTTGCTGAGCCTGTTTTCTTATTGTAAAATGTGTCAGTACCAGGAAAACCTCCCACTGCGTGGGGAGGAGTAAGTCACACAGTGTACATAACGTGCTCCACACAGTGCTCGGGCCCCAGCGAGTGCAGATCGATGCCATTTGATCACATGACCTCCCCGAGCCTTAGTTTCCTCTTCCATAAAATGGGTATGCCGATCGTTCTGCTTCTCAGGGTGCACAGATTGCTGCGAGGAGTAATGTTCATGTCCGTTGAAGTGCCTAATGTTTGCTGAATGCTTGCACTATTGCTGTGTTCCTTCTATCGTCCAGGATAAAGGACTGCAACCCCCAGCCTGCCCCATGGCCTGTGAGCTAGAGAACAACCACCCCCTGGGGGCCTCCCATGCTCCGCTCCCCTCAAACACACACAAAACCCGAAGCCCAGGGCAGGTGACCACTGAGCAATAAAAGAGAACAGGGTTCCCTGTGTTCCCGGTCTTGCTAGAAGAGAAGGTTACAGAGGGAGCATGTTGGGGGGCTGTGGGGACGTGCAGCTTAGGTTTCAGCCACCGGGTACATTTCCCAGGGAGGTCTTGCTGGGTCCCTGGAGTCTGTCCCACCCAGGGCATACACCCAGCTAGCCCTCAGATGACTGAGGTGACCTCAGGATAACCTCCCAGCCCCGAGATTTCTGGGATGAATTTCCACTGCGGTCTGTTCTGCATGAAGCCGGATATCTGATAAGGACAGGACGCTTCCTGCTTTGTGAAGGGAACAATCCTTTGGGGAAAAGGGTGACAGGCTGCACTTTCCAGAGGCCCCAGGAAGAGAGGACAGGCGGAGGCTGGTGTAGAGAAGGACCCAGAGACGCGGGGTGAGGGCCAGGGAAGAGGCGGCTCAGTAGCTTGCAGGCCTTCCTGCCACCAGGCACGGTGCTGTCAGTGATGACCTGTCATCCTACTCTGCATGCGATATGAGAGTCAAGTCCAGAGCCAGACCAGATAGACTGATATTTGACCTTGATCACATGTTGTTTTCAGATTCCTGGTTTAATTTTTTTTTAAAGATTTTTTTATTAATTTTTTTAGAGAGAGAGGAAGGGAGAGGGGGAGAGAGAGGGAGAAAAATATCCATGCAAGTGTGACACAGATTGGCTGCCTTCTGCACGACCCCTACTCGGGATCGAGCCTATAGTCTGGGTATGTGCCGTGGCCAGGAATCAAACTGGCAACCTTTCAGTGCACAGGTCGATGCTCAACCCACTGAGCCACGCCAGCCAAGGCTCCTGTGTTAATATTTTTGAGACATTAGCAAGGAGGCATTGGCTTAGGTGGGAGGAGGGGTACAGGGTCTGTGGAGGCTGAGAGAAGTAGATTTCAGAGGCAAGAAGCAGAGCCCAGGCCTTGGGTTTGCAAAGCTGGCCTTTCCACATTTTGCTATAAGAAAACAGAGTAAGATGGTTTGCTCCAGAGGGAACTCATCTCAAAGGTGCTTTTCCAGAGGTGCTGCTCAGGTCCCTGGGGAGATGGTTTGGGATGCGGGGTGAGAGATGAGTTTCTAAAATGTTCCTGAGAGCCCTAAAGCATTCTGCCTTTGGGATGTTCCCATTAAGCCTCCAGGGCTGGGGATGGAGAGGAATTCTCAGCTGAGAGGTTATGCTTTTTTCCTGGTTGCCCTTGTGGACAGGTTGGAGAGTGTGGGACTGGAGCTTACTGCAGATCACTAAAGCTGGTTGCTATAGAAACCACCCATAAGCTTTAAGAAAAAAAAATACTGGCCTTGAGGGCTTGGCTTGGAGAGCCTTCGGGATGATTCAGTTGTTTTCTCTGCCAAGTTCATGTGGAGCCAGCAGCCTGGTGCCGCCAAAGTGCTGCCTGAGATGCAGTTATCAGTGAACAGACCTGGGCAAAGGTCTCTTAGGGGCTCTGCCCAGGTGGCCGGTGGGGCTGGGGTGGTGGGTGGGTCCCTATCCCAGGGCTCAAGGGAGCAAAGAGAACTTTCTTCTCACTGTGGCATCCAGGGCTACCTGTGAGTTGTGGCAGGCAGTGGTCCTTCTGCTTCTCCAGCCTCACCCCAGAAAGGTTTTGCTGATCATGTCCCAAGAGGCATTTGGAGCGTTCTTGGCGGATCTTTGAAGGAATTTCCCTAGATGAACTTAGAAGGGAAGGTTTGAGTCTAAACTGTTACCTCTTCTTCCCATCTTGATTAGCTGGAAAGTTATTAAGTGTGCCTGAAATGGTCCCTGGATCCCTAGTCTGAACACGACGACAACTTCCTCTGCTGTGGCACACCGTTCACTGAGCTCCCTGCCAGGAGGGGAGGCCAAGAGGGAAACCAGGATCTGCTCTCATAGTCCTAGAGTGATGAGTTAGGAGAAAGGCAGATGTGACCACTGCTCGATTGGCTTAAAACTGTTTCACGCCCTCTCACTGAGGTGATGATAAAGACTATAATCTCTAATATGGCCTTGGGGCTGCCCAATCTTTTGGGCCCCTGCCTTCCTCCCCAGTCTCATCTTGTCCTACCTGCCCCTTCTGTGCTATGCTGGCCCTCACAGAGCAGCTGCTCAAGCTCTGTGAAGTTTCCCACCTCAGTGCCTTTGCACAAGCCATCCCCTCCTTGCTTAGGATTCGTGCCTCCCCCACCCTGCTCTCAGCTCAGGCATCCCTTCCTCAGGGATGTCCCCCTGATTATTCGACTAAGGACCTACCCGTATCCTGGACCCTACCCTCCTAACTGTGTTTTTTTCCTTTCCTGCTTTTGGAAGGTTGTAATTCTTTATCAGTTGCTACTGCTGGTCTCTCCATTAGGGATTAGCTCCACAAAGTGGGGATTGAGTCTGTTTCACGTGCATGAGGCATCCCCATTGCCACACATGGGTCTCCATGTTTGTGGAGTGAAAGAACATTGTGGGTGCTGGCCTTGTGCAGGGTGCCCTGGTGGGGCAGTGGAGGGAGTAAGCTGTTCCAGTGGGTAGCTGGGAGCAGGCACCAAAGGGGGGTCAGGAGGGTTCCTGAGGCCATAGCTCTGCCATTGGGTGCATGTGGCAGGCCTCCAGGGTTGGACAGCAGGGCCATAAGGTTGGAGAGAGGGCTTTTTCACTCCTGGCTATGGAGCTTGGACTTTACCCTGAAGGTTTGGGGTGGGGGTGGGGTGATAAAATCAGATTAAATTAGAGTGAGAGAGGCCCTTGGGGGTGGGTTGCCAATGCAAGATGAACTCTGAGCCGTGAGGACACCGTAGTCATTGGAGCCTAGCAGTTTCTGAGGTAATGAGGGAACTGGTACCATTGGAGGCTCCAAAGACAGGCTCCCACTCACCTCTCGGGTCCCTGTCAGCTTTTGATGGCATGGAATGGGTCTAGGTGGGGAGCCCTTTCCTCACTGTCTGGGTGCAGCAGAGAATACACACGTTGCCTGTTGGTCCTTTATCACTGTCTGACCGGAAAGGACACAGCATAGAGTCATTTTTACTAGCCCCATTCCCCATCCCACCCCTTATTTAAAAAATGGGTTTACTGAGTATAACTCGGGTACCATACAGTTCTCTCATTTAAAGTGTACAATCCAGCCCAGCCGGGCGTGGCTCAGCGGTTGAGTGTCGACCTAGGATCCAGGCGATAGGGGTTCGATTCCTGGTCAGGGCACATGCCTGGGTTGCGGGCTGCAGCCGATCAATGACTGTCTCATCATTGATGTTTCTATCTCTCTCTCTCCCTCTCCTTTCCTCTCCCTGAAGTCAATAAAGATATATTAAAAAAAAAAAAAGTGTACAATCCAGTGGTTATTAGTGCATTCAGACACTTGCACCATCATCACAGTCAGTTTCAGAACGTTTCATCACCTCAAAAACAAACCTGTCCCCCTGAACATTTCACTCTTGCTCCCAGCCCTGAGCAACCCCTACTTCTGTCTGCAGATCGCCCTGTCTGGACTTTCACCTGAATGGA